TTTTGGTTGGATAGTTCTCCCCATGATGATTTTTTGTTATTATGTTATATGTTTATATTTGGATATTGGGCTTTCAGATATTTATTTTTGATGTTTATAATAATACTTGTATAATTTTTGTTTTGATTTATGTATATGTTAATTTTCTCTGTAATAACGGATGGATTATGATATTTTTTTGTGTAATGTACATGTAACGAATTATTGTATACCCCGCATCATGGGCTCTGCCTAGTATGTCTAATTAAATAAATATTTAATATAAAAAAAACCTTTTTGGTAAAATTTCAAAGGAGTAAAGGGCACAAATTATATTTTAATATATATAATTGAATTATTAAAAATTCAACTAATATTTATTAGAGTACAGAATTTAGTAAAAAAAATTTACAGACCTTAAATAATAAAGTTGTGAATGATTTTTTTATCATCATTTATATAAAAGACTATATAATATTTAATGTCTACATTCTCAATTAAAATCTTTAAAACTTTACATTTTTGTGTAGCCAGTTTCAATTCACAAAATGTAAATATTGTATTATCATTCTTTCGTTGTTTAATTAAATTAACTTAAGCATAAAGAATTAATTTTATTACATATTTAACTAAATTAATCAGCATATTTTTAATGAAATATAGATTAGACAGAAAAATTATCTTATCAGAATTACATCAAAATTAGAAAAAATAAAATTAGATATTTTTATTTTCTTTAATTTAACTTAGATAACAATTATTAATCATCAAATAATAATGATACTATTTAATTTTTAACTGATATTTAAATGTGTTTCATAGTTTCAATTTTTTTCAAGTAACAAAGTTAAACAGACTTTGTTTAAAAACATTACTTTAATATCTACAAATTTTTTAACTTGTTATAGAGTTTATTTTTCTACATATTTTAACATGCTGCTATTCATATTTAAATGTAATTCAGGACTTAAAATAAAAATAAATAAAAATATACAGTTGAACCTGTCTATTTCAAACATGTTTATCTTGAAAATCTCTATTTGAAAATTTATTTTCCCCTGAATTTTCAGTCTAAATTCAGTACATTTTCCATGTTTATCTCAAATAATTTTCTCCCAAAATCTCTGTAGCTCAAATTATGAACTTAGCACATTGCAAAATGGAGCAGAAATACTAGGAGCACTCAAAGGTATTTCCTAGTGTGAAGGGAAGAGAATAGATGAGGTTGGGAGAGCAAGGATTAGAACAAAAGGAAAGAGAGACTATTATGTTTATTTTTAATTTAATAAACAAGTGTTTATTATTCTGAAACCATAATTAGAATTATATAATTGATTTTTTTTAAGATAGCTAATGTTATATATCTGGAGTGGGCAAGCAAGAGTTCAATGGGAGCTGAAATGTAGGTTTTG